GCCCATTCTCGCGCTCGACCACCGAGCTTTGAGATGGCTAGCGCCACGCGCTATTGCTTGGTCTGGAGCATGGTGGATGCGATAGCCATCTCGGCCTCTCTCACCCGGAGCAGGAGATTCTCTCCATCCTTCCCCTCAAAGACATTAACGCTCACAATGAGCGGCTTAAGCGGAGAAAGTCATCCGTTACTGGCGGTGGCGTCATAGACGCAAATAAAGTAGACATTTTATGCTGCAGGTGCTCTAGCAGCGCGTTTTCGTACTTTGAAAACGCCTCTAGACGCGCATTATTTGCCTCGGGGCCTTCCGCAGTATGGTGTTGCACGCCCTCAGGACCCAGTAAGGACATCGGCTTTTTAAGCCCGTCCTGCATGCCCTGGGGCAAAGAAGAAAATTGTTCCATTCTCACAAAGGATCAGTCTAAACGACTCAGGTGTAAATTGATTACAAGTGCTACCAAGTGCAGCGGGGCTGCCGTACCTTTGCGCTTTGAAGAAGCGTAAGTTAGGTCACCGACCTCTCGTTCTATACTCATAACAAGTACGAGTGTAGCGGATCGTAATCCGCTTACTCCAGAGAGGAATTATAGCCTTACGAGCAAGTGAGTTGTTAGAGTTGGCGTCTTCAATAACGTATTCACGACGGTGTAGTATATTATGTGCAGTTACCCAAGGCTAATTAACTCTTCGGTTTAAACTCAAAACTGACTTTATTTATTTTTATCTGCGGCAAAGCCGCCGAATTTTAAATGCATAGATTTTCCTAAGTATGTATAGTAAAATCTAAATACATGTATTACTACCGTATTCTTGTTTGGATGTGGTCACACCATGCCCATCTGGTGTGACACACACCTGTTACCAGGGTATGTGTAACCCCGTTACAATAGGATACTGTTCGCATCAGTATATGAAACTCAACACACACGCTTCGAAATCTACGATTGTCATAGGTGTGAATAAGTCCACCTGCGGTGCTGATCATATGGAGCGACGAATAGCGCAAACTGCTCTTGAACCTGTATGCAAAGAGGGCGAAACAAATTGTATTAGCTACGAAGAAGAGATACGATGACTTGTTCATAACTCCAGCTCATTACTCTATCAATGAATACTTTCAGGGACACAATTGCACTCTGACCCGAAGTCAATTATCTTTCAATTCATTTTCATATTTTAACGCAACACGGAATTTTTATGTCTCCGAAACATCCACAAACTGCCTCGCAGACAGTGAGCATAAAGCTCCCAATATGTGTGTAAATCCAACGCGATCCCGTCTGATAATCGCTGATATAATAGAGTGGGCCAATTTTAGGTTTAAAATGTTAGTATTCAACCAAGCAACCAGTACATTTCTGCGATTGACGTCGCGATAAATAAGAGACAATTATTTGTTTAAGGAAGACACTTCTATAATTTTTGGCGACTTAGCGATTAAAGCTATAGATATTTAAAATAGCCTCAGAAATGATGGTGTTCAGCTTCGTCTACGCAATAGATGACATGAGAAATTACTTATACAAACGTTGGCACGGTCAAGCAGGTAGTACGAGTAATGTGAAAGCTCGTTCGGCGGGTTTAACTTCAGAAGAAAACTATCCACTACAAAGCTACATTGACGTAGTGTACTCTTCTATAATTTGGTGCCAAACTATACTTTGGCTACTATGAACATGACAATGATCCCACTACGATTGCGTACTGTTGCAATGTGACTAGCACAAAATGGATAATCTTCTTCGTGATTGGTACAGCCAGTTTTCGCAATAGTCGACACGTTTCAAACGACAAGTCAATGAAATATAACCATAGCAAAAGATAATGTCCCTCCCGTAGTGGCTCAACTACGCGGCCCAATCTAAATGTCGAAGTGTTACTTCTGCATCCGAAATTTAACGTCCAGCTCAACAGCTTTCGGGATAATTTGCTCAATTGAAGTTCGATATCGACGGTTTTTGCTCGTAGGGATGGACGTATAAGATAAAATCTTCTATTATGTAGTATATTGATAGTTGGAGTGATGTAGAGTTCAATAAGCAAAGTAACACTTTGGCTGAATTACAATTTGTAGCGTACTATCGAGGCGATACATGACAAGGGATGGTTAATTCAATTGTAACAATGTGGTAAGGGATTACAGTTTATGAGGTCATTATTTAGTACCTGAGTTCACGAATGGGCGCAATTAGTGATATCAACAATGAACGTGAGAATGAAGATAGACATACTGCTGTACTTGTATCATCGGCATATGAAGCTTACAGCTTCTCTTTTTGTTGCGAGAAAGGTACACGGTGGAAGTAAGACATGCTGAAGTCGTTGATGAAGTGAAAAATAATCATTTGTAGCATACAGGTGTGAAACTAAAAAAGCATTACTTACTAATCGAGGAACGTGCATCAACAGCATCCGAGCACTTTATGGAAGTAGCAGCTTCATCTATTATTATGGGGTAGATACTTGGCGTGAGCTAGACAGTAGTCGTTTGACGAAGTTTCATTAAGAATCTGCTGGAATTCGCAATCGTTGGTGCTTTAGCCCTCAAGGTGTTACCAGACTATTGTGCGTTTAAATTATGGCTTAATTCGATATCAGCAAAAGATGCAAGCGTCCTATTTATCGTTGGACTATCTTAGCTATAGATGGAGCTACCTCCATCAGATGCTCTTATCAAGATCTTATTCATTTCTATCCATGCTGCAACTACCTATCTTCATTTGCCATCTTGAGTACCGGAAAAGAAAAAGTCAATCTCGAGTAATCCCGCAAACCATCGTTGTGCATAGAGAGAGATCTTAGGAATACCTTAACGCTCGTGAATGTACGCGTTTTTTTTTTTGACAAAGATATGAAAGTATTGCATTTAAGAGATACTCGTGAGTTTTTCGATCAGAAAGTCTAACTTTTGCTCAAGCACATGAAGACGGGATGATAAATTTCTGATCGCCATGTCGCTGTCGTGACAGTGATCACGTATTTCATTTGCTGGTGACTTCAATAAGCTGTTCGAAGTACATGCACTGGAAAGTTTCCTTAATCGTGGCTCCTCAGAGATAGGACAGCAGTCTTTGTTTATGTGTTGAGTCGTTAGATGCTGAAGCGTTGCTTCACATTCCTGGACTGTGGCATCAGGAAAGAGTGTTTTCAATAAAGTTGATGTAAGCTTTGTCTGCGGAGACCACTCCAAAGGCATCACGCCGAGTCTATCAGCAAGAGCTTCTCGCAGCACATGGGTCCGGATTCTGCCCCAAAAAACGACAGAGTAACGTCGACTTGGTGCACAGCAGAATACCGTGGCTATCACAAAGGTCAATGGAGCAAACCATTGTCGAATTACGTGGTTGAGGACCCGTAGAAACACCCAGCACTTGCTTTTGTCTTTTTTCTTCCGTTCCTCTTTGTACGCATCCACCACGATTGCCAAAACGATATTTAAAAGAACAAACGTCATCAATGACATGTAGCTCCAGTAATAAATCAACGAAAAGTCAATCGAATCGATGACCTTGATATTAAAATTATTGAATAACATGTTGACACACGCCTTCATCGAGTAAAAGAAAGACGAGAATTCTTCAACACTGGTGCCAAACAAAACTGTTCCAGTCGAAGCAAACGCAATGAAAACAACAGCAAAAATAACCGAGAACGTTCGGAATGACCGAACTGCACTTGCAATCGTGCGAGTGAGAATACTCAATCCAACATGGTTTCGAAAAGTGTTTAGTACGCGAAGTCCTAAGACAAATACCGCAGCCGTGGCAAGAAGACGAAGTAACGTCGTTAAATTAACGATATGCTCAAACGATTCCGTGACTTCTAAAAGCGTCATTTTGATCTCGTCTTTGTTTTGACTGGTGTTTCGAAGCACTAATAATTTTGCACGAAAGCTTGTGCTGGTCATGGCATTGTGTGCGATGACGACGGTGACAAAATATGCATACACGACAGGCCTTCTCAGTGCATCAATCGCAAACCAACCATCAGGAAATGCCCAAAATCGAATGGCCATTCCAGCATGACCAATGAGTTCGTTCAAATGACGACTTGATGAATCTAGAGTCGTCTTAATATGGCGTACTACAACCAACCCTAATGCTGATATCAACGCCCAAGGGAAGAACCATAGAAGCACGAGAATATCCAGTGCGATGGTGGTTGCGTTTGGGAACTGATCCAGTAATGTTGAAGTTGTTGAAATGTAAGGCTCGATAAATCCACCAGGACTAAAATCGAGCTGAAGTTTCGTCACTGCGTACCCAGGCAATTCACCGTTGACCGTGATGATTGTGATTAGTAGTTGTTGCGTCGCAGTGTTGAGCCAACCTCCATCCGCCTTCTTCTTCGCCAAAATCGCACTCGCATCGGTTTCATTGGTATCAAAGGAGATGAAAAGTTCTTCAATTGTCGTTTTAGATTCATCATAGCATTTCGCATAAAGCGGTTCCAGGATCTCTGGCATGTCGCAAGCTTCAGGTTCCATGCGCGTCACCTGAAAGCTAACTCCTCCAAGAACTTTATTGACTCCCCCAATGCGACCATAACCATCTTCTGACAGAGCTTCTCCATTGTAGCCGTCCGTAGCAAAAACTTGCGGAACCAGAGAGCTGTTCAGCCAATAAAAGATGCCAGGAACAGTCTCAATGTCCATAAATCTGCCTGGGAATTTATTCATGGTGGACAACTGTCGTGATCCTGATGAAAGAGCATTGTTTTGGTAGTACATGCTCGTGGTCGGAATGTGCAAATACATTGCTGCAACGAAGATGCAGAATGACATAATGGCGAAACTAATTTCCTTCATATCTGCAGCATGTTTTTCGTCGCACCATAGCTTGTCAAGAGCAGATTGGACCGAAACTTCGCGACAATGACAAGTCTTGGGGCTGGCAAGAGTTTCTATATGATATTGAAAATCGAATTCCGTGTTGTCGTACGGGTTCGGCGAAAGCAATAAAACTTTGTCACGTCCATGCGCCATCACTTAAATTGCAAAGTCAGACGGGATATACTACGAAAGACATGGGATAGAATTCTGCTTTGGTGGTATACGACATCCTTCCCTGGAATATCGAAGACAAACAGATGTATGTGATGTAATGATGTAACACTCTTGATTCTCATATGTCACCTTTTTAAAACGACAGCTGCAGCGTCGAACAGACACTTCTATTTGTGAAGTCGTCGGTTAATTAAAGCTTTGCTGCATTCGCTGTAATTCCTTTCTGCGGTTTTTTGCTTGTCGAATGACTGTTCCAGTGGTTCATTCAATTGATCATGTGCTTCATGATAAGTAGAATCAGGCTCCAATGAGAATTGCTAGCCGTAGCAGTATAGGCCGAGTAAGATACCAAATGATGGTAGAAAGCTCATAGTAAAACTCATCCGCATGCGAAGTACTGAAGCATCCACTTACACTCGATAAGCAGCTTGTGGTTATTGTGGTACAGGAACAAATTTTTATTGTCGCTGACGTGCTATTCAAAAAGTGCGGTAACGTGCATATTCCATTGACTATAGATATAGTTGATATGCTTTGTGAATGCATCGTGATGATACGTCTTTTACAATATTAGGGGCGAATGGTGAGGTTACGATATCGATTTCGTGTGCAATGGTACGCAACAGCAGCTGCCCTCTTGTCTCGCGATGTTTGTATCTACGAGCTTGAACAGTGCTGATCAATTTTATGCATTTGTATGACAATTTTAAAGGATATTAACGTAGTCACGATGCTCACGTTTATTCTTAATTAATTCCCAATCTACTTTTCGATTTCTGTGTTTACACTCTCGTCGTAGCCCAAATGATGGTTGAGTGAGTATGAGAACCACATCGCTAACTTGGATTAAGCTTGCAGCGATTTTTTTGGTAATGCAACCCAACGTGAACAGATCGGTTTTTGGCTCTTTACAACATGAGGAAATCTTTAGGCAAATACAAACAATAAGGAGGTCAATTTAGAATCTACTTCTAGTTGAATGAGATGATCGATTACCACCTCTTTCGCCTTGCACGATATTTTGAGAACTATGTGGTTCGCACTCTCGGCATCACCTTGGCAAGTTTAATGCTCGCTTGGCGAATCCAAACTTTTTTGTTCTTTTAGCCGCGGAATGGTGTGCTTAACACCACACAAAACATGTCCAAGCAAAGTGCCAATATAGACGCCGCAGATATAGTAAGTCGTTAAACATTTCACTCACACTACCAATGACGCTATTGCACCCTCAAACCGTCGAGAATTTAATACACTTGGCAACAAAAAATCGTCACGTTCATGCCGATAGACCTTCTTGCCACTTCGTAGTGAAGCGACTGCAGCGGCTGAAGCGCCGACGCTCAAGTCATGGATTGAAAGTTGATGCGTCCGATCCACTTCAAAAATTACAAGACATGGATGAAGACTTTCATGTTGGTAAAAACATGAGCGCTTTGTGCGTCTGTTGGTCCTGTCAGTATCTTCGACAGTGGAGCACATCTTTGCAGCCCTACCGTTGTAATTTTAAATTATGTATGATTGAATTTGAGTCTTTCATAGACATGTACGAACACCAACTAGAGATACATGGATGTCTGAATCCTAAAACAAATCGCGTGGTAAATGACACTTTTCATCAGCAGCAAGGCACTTTGGCATTTCCTCCTGCTACAGTTTATGCAGCTCAACAATTTATGGTCCCAAGTCGTCCACCCACCCCTTGGAAGTCGACAAGCGAACTGGATGATGAGGCAAAGATTGTGCGGGACAAGTTGTGGACTAATAATCCGGATCGATATGGTATCCCTTACCGACTGTTTAAAGCAGGATACCAGCTAGTGAAACGAAATGGATGGAAAGAGATGCAGCGGCAATTTCAGATTGCAATGGAGCACTATTACTCGGGACTGAGGTTTCTTGCCTCAAGTCGCGGCTTCCGTGACGGCTGTCCATCAATTGAGCGAGGCAGAAATTGGCTGGTATGTGATTAAGTGTTGATTTGATGCAAGTCTTATGAATATGTTTGTTTCAACTGTAGACGTCGACAGACCGAGAAGACATTTGCTCGCTATTTCCATTTGGCGTCAATGACAAAGTCGACGTTGAGCCTGAATTTGTTTTAATCGACACAAAACATGACCAAGAAATGCAAGAACGTATTATAGTGCTAAGTGATGACTCTGAGGATGAAATTGTGGTCGTGAATGCCAATAAAAAAAAGAAAAAGAAAATTGAGAGAGGAAACTGCGACGTCAAATCGAAAGTACTAACTGGTGGTAAATTCTCATTACTGAAGAATCGAAAGCTTGTTAACACTGACAGTGATGCGCGAGATGTGGAACCTGAAAATGGCAAGGGTGATAAAGAAAACACACTCAACAAACACGATGTTGTCGATCTTCAGAGCGACGACAATGCAGCTTTCAAGTCTAGAAGATGTGACGACAGCGAAACGGATAGCAATTTTGGGCTCGATGTTTCTCGTCCAGCATATGTTGATAATAGCGATAGAAGCAGTGAAAGTGATGATGAAGAAAGACACTCGTTAAAAGCTACTCCAAAAAGCTTGAACATGATTATCAGTGTCAGCGACAGTGAGAGCACCAGCGAGAATGAATTCAAATCTAACGCTTTCAACAATACTGCCGATAGTGACAGCGAAACTAGTAGTGATAGCGACAGTCACAGTGACGATAACCACGGCCGTGACGACATCATAGCTTCGGAAGCCAGTAGGACTAATAGTGGCGTTAAGTTGATATCTAGAGACAAGTATGTAAGCGATACCGAGAGCGAAAGCGAGAGTTTAATATGATCACAGAAATCGTGAATAACACATGTTATATTGTACATCACTTGAATTTTTGTCACACGTCACATTTTATCGATGACCATTGATCAAGAAGTGCCAGCAGTAAAACCGCTACCAACGGATGTCGAGTCTCGCGAGCGAATACCTGGAACTCCTTTAATCCCTGGAGGAGCAGCATGGTCCGAGGACGGTCGACTTGCTGTCGTATCTGACTCAAGCATCCTCGTCGCCACTTTCCGCAGTCGCGAACTCGAAATGTATCAGCCTTATGGTCCTGCCGTCTCGAAAGACTTTGTATTTTTACCGAAAACTCCAATCAATGAGCATGTCCCGGTTGCGATACCTCGAGTGATCAAGTCGCTCGACGCTGGACTGCCACAACTCAGTACCACATATCTTCTACTAAACGAGAGCGATCGTCACCAACACAACCCCAAGGAGCTGTCTCTGTCCAAAAACGCTGGAGCTGCTTTCATTGCCGCCGAATGGGGACCTCGAGGTTCCGCACCAAATAATTCATGTGCCTTATTAGCACTCACAGCGTCGTCTAGGCTGAGTCTGCACTTTCCATCGAGCTTCCACATGAACTGGAGCGAAGTTGCTGTTCTCTCCGAAAACTTATTTACATTTTTTCAACGCCATTGCTTCCGTTTGGGACCATCCCATGATAATCGTTCTACTACCATACCACCAAGTACAGCAATGGCAACACCACGAGGAGACAAAAAGATTAGAACACGGAAAATGGACGATACGGTTGGTTCTGTTGCTGTAAATTCTATAGCTGAGTATACGCATCAATGCGCTTTATTGTCGACCCTGACCATGGCATGGTCACCATTCATGGTGACTGTGGATAAGCAAGTTACTACGTCGCTAATCGCGCTGTCAGGACGAAAAGTGAGTACTATCTGGGCATACATGTATCGCTCATTTGTAGAGGACCACGAATCGGAACCATTTCTTTCAACAGCTCCGATTGCGTGGATTGATACGGACAAGTACGGTTGGGTATCAACAAGTGCTTGGCAGAAAATGCATCAATACGGAACCGCGTTTAAAACGCAAAAAGAGCTTGGATTAGCGCTAGGAACGTCAGAAGGAAGTGTGTTGATTGTGAAAGTTCCAGTTACGGAAAATGTGCCAAATGATTCACCACAAGAATTGACGATAGAACGCGTCATCGTGGCTCCTTCTTCTCAGCCAATTTATGGATTGTGCATGGGCAGTCACTGGACATTTTCAGATAGTCCCACTAATGACTTGATTGTTGCATCGGGATCGACAATCTCTGTGTGGAATCTGAAAAAAAAGAAACAGACGCAGCCAAATGTCAAGTGGAATGCTCACGAAGGCAATATAACTGGTCTTGACATAGATTATTTTGGGGACGCCATTACCTCAGCTGCTGTGGATGGCACGATTAAAGTATGGAGTAAAACAGGTCAATTGGTGTACTCAAGTGACGCCGTCCCGCCCAAGTCAGAAATAGAAGATTCGGGATGTACTACGACGACTACTGCGGCAAATTCGGGTAAATATCCGGTGTTTGGTCTGGCCCTGTCACCAAGTTCTGCACTGTTGGCATGCTTGTTTGTAGTGCCTCCTGCTTCTCGCCCGAACCGTAAATCTCAGGCTGACGTTTCTTATAGTCGAGTTTCAAGCTCACTAGAGTACATTCCGTTGCCATGGGTAAAAAACTGCGATCAAATGATAGAGATGGTGTGCCGCATTCTTAATGAGAGTCAATCTGTGAGCAATTTTATGGATGTTGCTTGGCTTTGCTACAACGATAATGCAGCCATTATGTCATGCAACGGCTCTTCAAGCTTGGATATTCCCAGTGTACTCAACAAGTTCACAAATGACACCGACAACAGTAATGTGCTCGCGCCTCAGCCGATCTATCTTCATCTCTGCCAAGAACTTGAAAAGATATACGACGAATCTACTTCGACTGCTAAACAGAATATGTGCCTTCCTATCCCACTTTATCTCCAAGCATCGGTATTGTTGCGCAGTGCAGTCACACCGGCTGATCATTTAGTAGCTGCCCACAACTTAGCGCTAGTGAAGCTTCGACGAACACTAGGTGTATACTGGGCTACGCGATGTTTGACTGCCCTTGTGGCCGCGGCTACGAAGAAAAATAAGGTACTCAGTGACCACCTCAATGGCTCGCCACCGGAAATTATCAGTGCTTTGATAATGGCTGATTTTCTTAGTGTGCAAGATCCGTTGACGTCCTGTCATGAGACTCTTGTGACGCAAATTTATACTCAATTGGACTCACCCGATCACGCTGCTGTATGGATTGCGTATGTGAAGGCAAAAGCAAACGAACAGACAGCTGATGAAATCAAACCAGCTGTGCCTATACCACCGTCACGAGAAACGTGTTTTATCTGCCAAAAGAGTGTACCTTTTGGCGAACTCGAGATTCTCTGTGCATCTCGGCATATTTTAGAAAGATGTTTTCTTTCGTTCCGGTGCATTTCGGCTATGGAAGTTTGGAAGTGTATGGGCTGCGGGGCTTCAGCTTCCGAGTTTGACACTTCAGGTGGCACGACACCGTTCTTTCTATTGGACTCTAACGACCATGATGACGAGGCCGCTGCGTCGAGGACGAAAGTCATTTGTCGCTTGTGTGGAAGCTATTGCAGATTTCTTAGATATTAACTAAAAGGAAATTGCTAGGAAGCGCATGAGAATGGAAAGTGTATTAAAAGTGGTCAATTTATTACCCAGCGCACACGAAGACCCAGGCCATATCTAAAAGTGAAGTGCAAAATTCTTCTGCCTCCCATTTTACTTACGAACATTTCTCCGTTTGGCTTTTACCAAAATTCTGCGTCCAGTAGATTTTGTACATAGAGTTTGAATCGTACGCGTAACCACAGCCAAACATGGTGAATTTCTCACGTAAAATGTTAGCTCGGTGGCCTGGCGAGTTCATCCATGCTTCCATCACCTTATCAACCGAATTATGGCCAGCAGCAACGTTCTCTCCGGCCGCTGTGCTGTCATAATGTTTCTCTTGGAGCCGCTGCGACATTGTCGAACCATCAGAACCCTGATGGCTCATGTAATTTTTAAATGCCATATCGTTCGAATGGCCTTGGGCAGCTTCCTTCAGCTTTATGTTTAGACACAATGGGGGGAGTTTATAAGCAGCACGTTCCCTGTTCACTGCCTTGAGCAGGTCTGCCTGAATCCCGTCGGATGAGCTCACTGCTTGCAAATTCCGCGAGAAATTTCCAGCGTTTGTGATGTTGTTGACGTTGTTTGGAAGATTGGCAGTCGAAACTGACAAATCAATGTCTTCGTAAAGGGCGTCACCAATAATTGGCAGGAGTTGCAGCGAAAGTTGTGAACTAGCTCCCATGTTGACATCAGCTAGTGTTGTATTGCCGAGTAGAGTCATGATCACAGCGAAAATGAATGAAAGGTTCGACATGGACGTTAGTGACTGCAAGTGAGGACTGAGTTGATGTCGGTGACTGGCAAAGACTTGAAAACTGAATTAATGTAGCAGGGTTGATTGCCGCACGAAATTATGGATTCAGCTCACATGATCACGTAAATGATTCGAGGTTGACTCACTACAGCCAAAAGATAATAGAATATTGAGTTTGATAGGACTTGAAGTGTTTCAAAGTATAGGACTTCTCCATTGGAATGCCCCTTTTGGATGCACTGCCAACACTTTACACGATGTAATATTGGAATAAACATTCCTATTTTTCTTTTTAGAACATTACTGCGTTAAGCTTTGCGATGAACAATTTCAATTCAGTCAGAATCTAGCAACGAGTCTATTTTTCTAGTATCTTAAAAGTAAGGGGTGTGTGGAGTTCGAGTTGTAGCATCTTTCTACGTTTCTACAGCTCGATTACTATGCTATACGATAAAATAAAATTTCTTACATGCATTAGGTAGCATAGCACTAATGCAACGATCCAGCTTACAGGTGCACACAAAGTTATACTAATCTCCAGAATAAGCACGCCATTGGATATCTCGCTCATTGCGTACCATTGTAAATTGTCAGATACGTCATGGCTACAACGCAAAAATTTGCTTTAGCCAATTTACAAAACTGTTGTCTAGATTATCGCATCAAAATATGCTTTTTAAATGATGTTAAATTACAACGTGGACTAAGAAGGGTTAGCTAATTAGATGTTAAACATAAAAATTCTGATATCTTTTTCGCCAACCAAAGGACGCGAGGTAGTCATTTGTAACAGGGTCTATACTTACTATGAATTTGAGCCAAAACGATTGAACTCTAAAAAGATAACACTTGACTGTTACTCTAGTTTGTATAGTTTTATTGAAATAGTCAAACAGACGGTGTATCGACCACGCCATCACGGCGGTACACACACAAACTTATATTTAGACTCACCTTCGCTGACTCCTTCTATTCTAGTTTAAAGATTGTGCGGTTTGCTCGAGTGTGGAAATTGCTAAAAGCGGCGGTGGACACTTATAGTAAGTGTTAGCCCAATTCAGCCTATATGTGTCGCTCTTGAGATTACATAAGAGCAAAAAAAGGTATTTATCTACTTGAGATACTCTCAGCTCCGCTCCCGAGTGAAGCGTATGAAACCATTCTCTGTGCGATCTTAAGCAGCTTCATTTGGTCAAACAATTCTGTCTGCAAAGGACAAGACAAATTTTTAGCATGTGTCGTCAATCCGACAGCTGTGTCTTGATAGAGAAATCCCTGTAAGGATGGACTACGAGGTGTCGAATGAAGTGTAATTACGACAGGTAGACACGATCGACGCGAGCATGTCGTAAGTCCCGAAGAAAGTAGATGTCTGGTGGCCCATGATCCAACACTGCTAATCGCTCGCCTTTTAGGGCTTACCAGCTCCTAGATTGATCTCGTAAGACACCTCCAGAATCCTCTGAACCGGTCGACAGTGGAAGCAAAAATGGCTCAAATGTAAAGCTGAAATGTAGATCCCAGAGCAGTGACATATAAATCTAAGTTTCGCCGTCTGATAGAGAATGACATGGTCATAAAATTATTATTTAGTCAAAAAAGCACACCCGTTAGACACCCTCAAGCTCGAAGGATGTGTGCGAGAATGATCACTAAGGTACTGTACTTAGATTTTTCTTGAAAATGAAAACTGTGTCGCGAAGATACCACGGATATTTGCACCGCCAGATTTTGAGGAAGTTGTATGCTCAAATTTCTATCAGCCCGTCGTGTATTGGGATACACTTAGCCACTACATGAAGGGTCATTTATGAACCTTATGTATGCATTGTGGGAATCTATAAAAAATATTACGGTATGGTGTTCCTAAATGTAAACGTGATTTCTTACATGGAGTCACAACTATTCTGTATGATACAGGATGCTGGCTCCTACTTCAGGATCTGTAATGTTGACGAAACCGTCGTGTCTAGAAGTGAGTGGCGATATCCATTCATTTCTTATAGATGCTTTCCTCGAGTGTTGAATTCTCCGTACACTGAAGATCTTGTATCAGTTGAATCTGATCTTAAACCTCAGCACCCATGATGTTTATTCCGGTACCTCTTAGAGCCCTTGGGTATTTTTCATGTAGCTAGGAACCATAACTCATTTTTAATTCAGTTGCAAACTCACCTTAAGGTATTTAGTCGTTTTCCTCCTCTTCAAGTTGGAACCGCCCTTCTCCGTCCACGTTTGGATTCGCTTCCTCGTCACACAAGCGTGTGTGTTATGTTCGAGGGACTGATTGTGAGCAGCACGTTCTTACGCCTGGTAGCACTTCGAGCGGTCTAACGACACTCGGTTTTGTTTTGACGAGCGGGCTGTTGAGCACGTCGCGCATTCCAGTCCAAGCCATACTCCTGTCCTTGTCCGAGCGACGCGGAAGGAGTTCGGGTATCTATCGGTCCATCAGTTCTGCAAACTGAGGTGTTGACATATTAGATGTTTCCTCATTTGTCATCACATGAGAATGGCACTCGAGCGGACGCGAGAAGATATCGGAGGAGCTGCAGCTGTCATGTTACTGCAGTCGTCTTCTCCGAATGGCCAGGGGAACGTAGCCATTAGATTCATGTATCATGAGATAACGGAATCTCGGAAGCAGGTCGTTGCCTCATTGTCTTCGTATAGAACGATGCCTTTATATTGAATGTGTCTTTGCATCGTGATGAAGAGAAGGAGCCTCTCTCACGATTGTTTGTCGAGAGGATGTAGCAATCACTACAATCAAGCTACGAGACCCCTTGCAGCAAGTGTTGTTCGCTATATCCATCCTAATGAGTCTTGCAATGGTTTGGGCGTATGGGAAGCGTTTAGCCGATCTGAATTGCTTTCCTAGCTACGAACACTTCAAAGTCGAGCTAACGAAGGCTTTTGAACCATCACAGAGTGGGTTCCGTGCACGTGCCGAGTTTTTGTTAGTGGTGTTCCATCGTCGCGCATTCGTATCTGGTAGAAACCATCCTTCAGATCGATCGTACTGAAAATAGTACTGCCATTCCATTTTACTAAGAAGCATATACTTGCGTGGAACCGGAGCTGGGAATGTATGGTCGCATCGATCAATTTATCGAAAGCGGAAGCAAAGCGCCAACCACGTATGGCTTTCCTCACACAGAGGATCGGACCTCAATGCGCAGACTTACTTTCATGCACATGAGCTTCATTGCAATGACTTCTTTTTTTGGCAACGACCACTGCCGTGTGACACAAAGCTACGTACCAGGAAAAATGTCAATCAAATGACAAATGCATCAGTCAGAAGGCAATTCGTCCGACACCTCGTCTGGGAATATTTCAACGTATTTCTTGACATACGCGGTGGGTTCGAGTTTATAGCGTCCCACGACTGCTCATCAAACTTTTCCTTCCGTGTTTTCTCATCAGATACTTCCGAAGTTTTCATATCATCGTCAGTATCTTCTTCGACGATCGCACATGTTTGCGAAATTTTGCCTATCGTTAAGCTACGCTTTAGCATCTTCTCGCTTATCAACGAATAGGTAAACAAGTCTTTGACTGATTTTGGACAATTTTGAATCTTCACGTGACGGATATATCGACGTCACCTTCTTCATTGTAGGCCATAACATTTATCAACTCGCTTGAAGTGTCTTGTTTTTGAACACTACCTTCATGATACAGCTTGTAGCTAAATCAGAGGTACGAAAAATACTTGACGGGAAACCCTTCGTAAAGGCCTTCTTAGTCTTCTCTCGGAATGGTTTCTTGTCTCTGTTCCCACTATTCTCTATAGTAACATCGGCTTTGACTTCCATGTTGCTTGAAAAGGAGACAGTCTTTTTCTCGTGCCAGACTGCTCCGCCTCCAGTTGGTGTCTTTACTTTCGTTTTCGTGGGCTTGTCCTGTGATCATGAGGGCCATCACGCACCACAATACAACTTGAAATATCTGGAACTTCTTCAAAAGATGCATATGCCCATATCGTTTCGTTCGTCGTTCTGCAGTTCGATTTAGCGCTGCACGACGTTGATGACGATCTTTATATTCTTCCAGTCAATGCTAGGTTGATAACGCTTCAATCATGGCATTCCTAAGACGATATCAAACTTGTCATCGAGGTCAGGTAGAAAAAAACTCGTCTAAAAGTCGGAAATCATCAACCATTATTGTCAAGCGAACGACTTACTTTACTTCTTCTTTCAATCGGACAGGCTGACAGCATGCCCAGTTATAACGTCCGCTCGAACATGGTTGTTTGACGCACCAGCGCAATCAAAGCTCGTAAGGGTTTCTCAAAACAATTTACAAAGACTTTTTTGGACAATCATAGTTACACTTTGCCTGACACATCCATCACTCATAGTGAAAACTGCATGTTTATCATGCGCGTCGAGGGCCGAGTTCTGTGTATCCACAGCATCCACAGTATTCATCTCGGGAACAGTAGGCAGCTCTGCCCCTACTGGTCGTTCTCATTTCTTACCCCTGGAAGCAATCAGACCGACGATCTTTATAACGCCCGCGGTTATCTGAACGAGCACTCTGTATCTGTTGCCGAATCGCAAAACACACTCTGGAGTTCAGGACATTATTACCCAGCTTTCCAAAATGGAACACTTTCCATCGCTGCGATGATACTCATTTCCAGGTGTGCTTTGGCTCTGGACCGTCACATGAACCGGTCAACTGGCACGTTATGCCTCGGTGCGAAGCCATTATACTTAGTTTGCTTGATGCTGGAAACTTCTTGCATTGCACGGTTTATTGCATTTTCCAGCGTCTTGGGATACTCATGGAAAAAATGATTTCGGATTTGATCATTATTCAAGTCCGCACGAACGTTACAACTTGTGTTGAAGCGTCAATTGGCTCGTCGACAATGCTCGGTAATAAATACCGAGCACGCTGTGCATATGAGTGTAGGTCGTAACGAACTACTGTCAGTACCCCCAGAGATTGCT